TTTATTTAATTTTTTTATATTTTAGAAGGGTTATAAAGAACTCGTAGAGCAGCCACTGTTTGCTTTGAGGCACACCCGCTATTTATGAAATCCTAAAATCCAATGATGTAAGTATTTCACCTTTTGCGATGGATGATTTATCATTACATCAAAAGGAATCTAAATAATTTTTAAGTGTTTTTAGAGTTATCTTAGTATTTAGATAAAAGAAATGATTGCTTAATAGGGTAAGAAGAACTTGCCTAAGGATTTGGCTTAGGACTTTGTGAAATTCATCTAATTGGGTAAGGTGAGTTTCAACAGGAAGAAGCTCCTAAAGAGGAATCTTGAAGCTTACATTTTAATTGTCATGAAAGGATGATTACTTACTTTAGTTAAATTATAGAGTTCTAGAGTTTGGATCTAGATGGAGAAGAGGTTACCTACTTGATTTGGGCCAAATAGATAGATTTTTGATTTGAGGCCAAAGATGGAGAAACTCCTATTGGATTTGGGTCCAATAGGAGTTAAGTCTTAGAGACCTAGAGATAAAAGATCATCTACTTGGTTGAATATTAAGTAGATGAAGATGATAAAAGATCCAAAGCTTTGGAGCTAAGGGTTGGAGAAGCCCCCTTAGCTTGAGAGCTAAGGAGAGGTGAGCTAACACTTTGTGTTTGAACTAAGGTTAGGAGGAATTCCTAAACTTTTGTGTTAAGGAAAGAAAAGGAAATTTATAGCTTTGGGGCTAGGGAGTCGGGGAATTTCCTATACCATTAAAGCTAATGGATGAGGGAAATTTCCTTCAACTTTGGAGCTAAAGAGAACATAATTAAACTTATAACTTTGAGACTACTGGTTAAGGGAAATTTCCTACATTTTGGAGGTTAAGGAAAAATAGTATGGGACCCATAGCTTTTGTGCTAAGGTTAGAAATCTTCTTGGGCTTTTGAAGCCTGTAAAATGAAAGAAGATTTGTAGCTTTGGGGCTACAAATCAAGAGGATTTCATTGAATTTTTGTATTCAAATAGAGGAATTCATTTGCTAAATTTAGGCTATGAAAATGAAAGGAGTTAGGATTTTGGTTCCTATGTCCATGGACAAGAGAGATTACCAATTGTTTTTGGCTTAACAGGTGTGCTGATAGAACTTAAGATTTGGTTCTAAGAGCCCTTAATGCTCTCTTGAATTCTTTAGAGGTCATTTGCGAACCACTATGTGAGTTTAAAAGAACACTAAGCAAAGGAGTAAAGGAATCAAGTCAAACTAAGTTATGTTCAACTTGATTTACAACAACCTTAGGATTTATATCTAAGGTTGATGGTAGCTCCCAAAGGGTGTTAAGATTCATACAATGAGATATTTGGAGCCTCAAGAGGCTTCAAAACATCATGCTTGAGGATCTAGGTCATTTGAAAGAGAGTTTTTTTTTTAAAGTGTTTTAAGTTCATTTGAATAGGATAGATTCATTCCTTCAACTTTTAAGAATTTTTTAGGTCGAATTATATGGGCTTTGAAAATTTGGCCCGTTGTGCTTTTCTTTTTCGGGGGGAGTTTTAATGGAATTAAGTTCCGAGGTAAATTTTGGAAGACAGATGAGTTTTTAGATAAGACACTACCCATGGATTTCGTCTTCATTTTGCGAGGACTTTATGATCTGAGTTCTGGTTTCCTGTACGCGCAATCCCCTATAGTTAATTACCCCTCTCGATAACGAGATGGAACTTTCGATTAAGGCTAGTCGTCGATTATATACATAGAGCCATTAAGTATCTGGCATATAGTAGCAGCAATGGGCATTTGAAATTTGAAGGATTTGATATTTAAAATGGAAATTTCATGTTCTTGCACTTAAAACAGATGGTGGAGAAATAGATGATGGACCCGATCAAGATCCCATGACTTCGTCGTCTCGGGCCATCATTGTCCCTAGTCTACTTAGTCAGAGGAGGTAGTTGACCCAACCTGACAGAAGGATCCTTGTCAGCAGCCATGGGTTGCTTCATCCAAGGGAACCTTGTAGATCTTGGGTGAATGCTTGTTTAAGGGGACAAATTTGAATCCACCTTAGTTAACAAAGGGCTTTGTGCCCTATCGATTATATCCTATTGATACATATCTCAAGGATTTGATGCCACTAAGGAGCGTATTAGTTTTGGTCATAAATGGTATTTCGTAGTGCCATTTGGTGACAAAATCACTCAGTTTAGAGGGCCCGGGTCATAACCATTTATCTTGCGGTGCTATTTAACAGCAAAATCGCCAGTCAAAGGACATATACCACGTCCTTATTGGCAGAAGATTATTCTAGAATGTATCTTAGTGATATTTTTGTTGACCCTAATACTAGTGACGAAGTCGAGTCGACTGCGCAAGGTGGATTTCAAAAGAGAAAGAGCTCGAAATCGAGTAAAAACTCACCCGACGCGTGTCGATCGAAAACTAAAAATCGCCGAATGGCCTCCGTTCGTAAAACGGATAGCGCCGATGCGTCCGTAGCTATAGAAATAGCTAAGATTGATACTCATATTGATGAGAGTCACCGATCGGCGAAAATTTTAATTTTGTGCAGCAAATCAAGGCGACGACGTGTGCGAGCGATGACGTGACGACCGACTCGATGCACAATTAATTTTTTTTATGAGAAAGGGAGAGAAAGAGAGACCTTTTTTTTAAATAAAATTTTGTTTTAAATAAAAAAATCCCTAATTTATCCCCACTTAACCTCATAACCCTCCTCACTCCCTCACACTCTCAAATCCATGATCCCCCCTCTCATCTCACGCTCTTCCTCACGCCAAGGAGCCGTCGGCCTCCCTCCTCGGTCCAAGCAAGGTAACTCCTCTTCCTCTCTTCTTCTTCTTCTTCTTCCTCCATCCTCTATTCCCCTTTTCCTTCTTCTTCCTTCCCTCTTCTTCCTCTTTCTGATTTTTCTTTTTCATTCTTCCTCCTTCCATTTCCTCCCTCATTTCCTCCCATTTTCCTCCTCTCCTCTCTTCTCCTTCCTCTCTCCTTCGTCGTTTTCTTCTTCCTACAACCTTTTTTTCTCCAAACATACACAAAGCCTAACCCTAAATTTTTTATTTCTCCCTAATCCATCACTCAAACCACCCATGTCCCTTAAAAAAAAAACACTTCCCTACACTCTTACACACTCCCAACTAAAAATCCCCATCATCCTCCATTTTCTCTCTCTAACCTAGA